GTGTTAAAAAGTAAAACGAAATAGTTAATAAGCCGGTGGCGGAACTAAACCTTAACGTGCTTCGCAATCGCAGAGGAGCAAAAATTAAGAAGATTAAAAGGTCGTAAAGCCGCTGAAAAGAGTACACCTAGCGAAGCCGGAGAAGCATTCGCGATATTGTAATGTACATTAAAATTGTAATCCCCGGCAGTGTGGCACGGTCCTCTTATATTTTACGCAAAAGTCAAAACATTCCGGGATTTGAAGAGACAGGACAAACGATCACTCGTAATTATTCCAGGCGTTAAAATATTTTCTCATCGAATGGAACGTCTATATTCGCAGAGTGGTACATTTCCGTGTATAAGATAGAAATACGAACATACAAAATATTCTGAAAAATTATATTTTACGTGTGCTATACTCTCTACCTCTTTTTCGTTAAAACATATGTTACATGAATATCCTGTCTTATAAAAAACTCTTTCATATTTCACAGAAACATGTTACCAACTTCACAAACTCAGAAGGTGAATAATCTTCTGTAATCTTTTAAATGATATTTTTTTCTCATAAAATCGACAATCAAATCTTTTAAAGCATGTTATATTTATTATCAGAATATAATTATTCAGAAATATTCTCTTAAATTTATGACAAATTTATTAAGTTTATCGTCTCACACACACACACACACACATATATATATATAAATTTTATAAATTTGTCATAAATTTAAGAGAATATTTCTGAATAATTATATTCTGATAATAAATATAACATGCTTTATATATATATATATATATACACAATACATATTATATAATTATTATATATTATATATAATTATTTAGATTAATTTATGTTCATCTATTTCTTCGGAATTCTGAAGAAATAGAAACTAAACCTTGTTCTACGAAATGATATGAAAATTACATTTCTAGCCACAATCCATTTTATCACGACTCAAAGGCAACGATCTTCAACCAATAATACTATACAAAAACGCGTTAGATCGCGGCGATCTACAAGAAGTAATGTCTATACCGTCGCGTGCGACAGAAGCGGCAAGGTTATATCGTCCATTTCTCGAATCGTAGCAAACGATCTTCCGTAATTATGCGAGACGATGGGACGTTTTCTCACGGAACGAGCTCGGCGTACGAGCCACGAAATGATGATCTCCACCAAATGAACCGCCAATGACGTCGACTGTCATGCGACGGGCGCACGACCATCGTCGTTGAACCCGCTCGCTAACAAGCCCCATTGCCTCTTTATTATCGCGGCCGGATCGCCCAGGAATAGCTACAAATCATGTGGAACTGGTTATCCACTGGTATGGTGCGTCATACGCGCTTCGTATATCTCCGGAGTGGCATTACCTACCGGAGTACTTAAACTGGTTCACCTATATGAAATACGATTGTAAAGCGTTCATGTAGTAAATCCAACAGCAGGTAGATCTCTCCGAAACTTATACGAGCCGCTATTATTATTCACGGCCACTTTGATTGCATAATTAGAGCATGTCACTGAGAGGCAGTCGTCGTTCCAATTCGGAAAGGTAACGTTACGAAAATTTCGGAGTTGTTATCTGAAGCGACCGTGAGAATTAGTGAGAAATTTTGAACCCGACACAGTTCACGCCCTGTGATCTGACATAATATATGCTTGCGGTAACTAACTTTCTCAGCAAAAAAACATTTAATGGTATGAAATTTTATATATTCATAAACATAAAGGTATGAAAACGTATAAACTATAATAATTCTGAATTAATATTATTTGGATGTACATTAAATTGCTTAAAATGCAGTGTTCATTTTTAATAACTATAGAAATTAAGTAAATCAAATTTTGGGGAATTAACTTAATAAGAGATTTCTCTCTCTCTCTCTCTCTCCCCCCCCCCCCCCCCCTCTCTCTCTCTCTTTACACAATGTCTATGTCTTACAACGAGTAGAAAAAATTGACATATCTTTAAATAAAATTATCAAAATCCATACTAAAATACGCTAAAAAATTATTATTAAAATTATTACAATGTAGATAGATGATAGTTCATGAACCATACATTAAATTGCATTAACCAAAACGAGAAAATATCAATAATATATGATGTTTCTTATTAAGATTAAAATTTATCATTATTCGATTAATCTTGTTCGGTCATTGATTTTCCGCTGATTTCGCATTAATAGTCCGATATCCTTTAAAACGGGAAGACCAATGCCCACGCTCAGCCCTAAATCATGCCTTATGACAGAAACAGATGTACGCTAGCCCGCTCTGTCGCAAATAGTTCCCGCAATAAGGCACCATCCTGCAAGCTGCGGTGTACCTGGCATGGTCAACAGTAGCCCCCGTTCGACTCTCTCCTCGCTTTGGATCTACGAGGGCACCGACATCGTACAACACCGATGTTAGCGTTTAAGTTCCTCATGATCGTACAACACCGATGCTACGAGCCCGGGTAACCCCCGAGAGCAGAATACTCGCGACGCGTATGTAAAGACGATTGTATATCTGTATCAACGATTTACCCCTTATATTCCTTCCGCCGCTTTCTTTTTCAGTTGCCCGTAGTCTATAGGCACGTATCTTACGTATATTTGTCGCGTTTAACCATTATATGGTTTATCGTTATTGTTCGTCATCGATGGGAGCGCCTAAGTCCTTCTTCCCTTCAGTACACGAAGAGAGAGAGAGAGAGAAGGAGAGCAAAGAGATTGAAAAGGGAAAAACACGAGTAACCATTATTAAATCAACCTACCTTATGCGATCTTAATTTAAATACGATTATGGATAACCTGCGTTGCGTGTATCAAATTTGATATTCAAATGGATTCATCTTTTGTTCAGGCTGGATAGTTCTTCCTTATCCAAATCGATTTAAAATCGATAACACTAGAGTCGCGATTTGTTTCTATTACTCTAAAGCATGATCGTAAAATATTTGTGTTTATAACAAGCTCCCTGCGTGGCATTAATTATCTGCTACCCCTGAGTACTCCATAAAAACAAATTACATATTTCTGTTTTGAAGAAGTGCATCTCGTAAAAGTCACGCGAGGAACGATTCAACGAGAGGTATTACTTTTCGCATCTTTTACGAGGAACTTTCATCAACGAGATTTGTTTCCTTGCGGTAAACGATGATTCGGATGGCATTTCGCTGCAATGTACATAAGCATAGCTGTATTAAACCGTTATGCGTCGCGGAAACTTTGTTTATTTAGAAGTTATTTATTTGACAGAAACATCGCGAAGACGTGGCGAGTCCGCGCATATCCTGTATACGGAAACTTGCGTCGCAAACGTGCAGTGTCGACTCGTAGAAGAAGTAAAGGATTAAATTTAGCATCGGCGAATATTTTACCGTCGCGAACAGTCTCCCCCTAGTTGACCTAAGCACCGCTAATGTTTTAAGCACGATCGTATACGGAATGACGATCTCTCTCGTGTAACAATTATGTGTACTGCCTAGGTACCTTTGGCCCGCGCGATAAACTGCAAGATGGATTAGTACAAAATTTCATCAGAAGGTAAACCAACAGTCTGAATACAATGTGGTTAGCGATCACGTTCTGTCTCTTCAAGAATACAAGAACAACCTGTTATTTATTAGCCATTTGCTCAAGAAGTACTTGTCCGTTAGTTTCCTTTCGAATTACGGAATCGAATTTTGCTCTTTCATCATTTTATATCACAGAATCGTAACGCGCGCGCTAGCAAGAAATCTTATTTAAATCAATTTAAATAATCATAGATTTTATTTAATCAAATCAAGAACAATTCTAATATCTTTAAATATTTGCAAAATAATTTTATTTTCTTCGAAAATTTTCTACAAAATATATCATTAAAAATTTCTACACAATACATTATAATATATTGTGGAAAGTTCGGAGAAAATAAAATTATTTTGCAAATATTTAAAGATGTTAGAATTACTCTTGATTTGATTTAAATAAAATCTAAATCATTATTTCCGTATGTATTCCGATCAAAGATAAGGCGCTTTCCGCGCGAGCAGCATTTGGCAGCGAGACGCGCCAAATGCTGCCCGCGCGATCTGTGACATTTCTATACCAAATATATCGTACAGAACACCGCTGCCTCTCGCACTGTCATATTAAATATTATTTATGTTCCCTCGCGCACAAAAGAGACCGGTTGACTCGCCTGGATCCGTGCTTCGTGCGTGTGTACGTGCATAGAGAACGCACGTTCGGTATAACCGCATCGCATATAAAGCACAAGGACTGCCAGTAGGTTTCCAATCGAAAAACAATATCGATCCATTGTTCCAACTGGCCAATAAATATCGTAAATATCATGCTGAATTATCGGTGCCGATCTTCCTACCCGCACATTGAACGCGAGCCGATTCTTATGCCCGGATCAGACTTCCTTACTGACGCATTACTGAGTATACAAGTTGTGCGATATACACGTGGAATAAAATTTGCACCACGTTAGTTCTTTGTACGAGCGAAACAGATACAGTACGTATTGTATAATACCGTAAAAATTACAGCGAGTTTCTACGAACCGATGGTATCTTATCCTTCTATCTCATCGAATTTATAGACTATAAAGTATAGAATATACGACTACTATAGAACTACGGCTTTAGAGTTTCTTTGAACTCTTTATGAATTTGAGGAAAAATATAAGTAGTTCAACTTTTTTCCGTAATACATATACGAATGTATGTATGCGCGTATTATATATTAAAGCCCTTTTGTCTTTCGTGTAATCATTAATTGGACCGCTCGGCAGAAATAATAACGGAGACACTACGACGATCTTTATTGTGTACTTGTATACACGTATCTAATTTATTTGAAACTCAAGCAAGAGTTTCGGATTTAGACAGATACCGCCTTTGCGCACGATAAAAGAAACTTCCTCAACCGTGTATAAAAATGCGTGTATTGTGCATTGTCACAGAGAGGTAACATTATATCACATTTGTCCTCGTATACCGAACTGAGACATGTATTTCTACTCACGTTTCAGCATCCCTTTGTACGTCGCCCCTGTTATGGATCTGACATCACAACGAAACGATTGAATCTAGAAGAAAAATATAGCCACGTTATTTTTATTTGTTCTGACGTTTCTCGTAAAAATAAAACTTCGCGAACGATCACGAATATACCGCTTATTACAAATTGTAAATTAATATTATATATTCAAGGCGTTATATTAATTTGTATAACAATAAACTATATAATAAGTAAAAACTACATTTGTCAAAAATATTAGAAATGACGTAGCAATTTTGTTCAATTATTATATTTTGCAGATAATTCTGTTAAATTTTATAATAATACCACATCTATGTGTATACGTAGACATTTCTACAAAGCAGCGAAACAGCAATTTGCATAATCTTCAAATAAAATTCGGACTTTAAAATGCAGCATCAAAGAGAAGTTTATGGCACAGGTTCTGCCATCTCTTGGCAGTCACTGGAAACTGCGCTCATCTGACAGTGATCCTCAATCGGAGGATGCTGTATCATTCAATGTAAATATAATATATGAATGAAAATAATATACGCATTCCGTCTTTAATTTGCACGCTAAATATAGATATCGATTGATTTTTAGTTCATTTCACTTTTAACCTATCATAATTTCAACAGGTGTGAAAAAAATTTTCGAATTCCAGAACAATACATAGAAAGATCAATTCAGAAACGACTGAGAACCAACGTCAAAAAGAACGATTTTCGATGAAGAAGGAAAATCCCCAGGCAGCCATACGGTCGCAGTCTTTCCACCTTATCGATATTAGCATAGAAGAGCAGTTTGCAAAATCGTTACACGTCGCGAAAGTGCACGTCTGGGCACACTAAAGGCTATCTCGCCGAATAAAACGACGCTTAAATAACGTATTACGCCAATATGTTCGCCGGAGAACCAGGACGGACAAAATAACGAAAGGGACTTCGACGATTTCAACTGAATCGTTCCTCAGTCCAACAGGTAATTGTCATCATTTTAAATTGCTACGATATCCGTTATAATTACGTTGCAAACTGTTAGATTTACATTTCAGAAGTGTTGAAAAATCTATAAATTGAAAATAGGCTTCCAATCATTTCCAATAATAAGGTATACCTACGTAGTACAATAACTGTGAATCTCTTTGTTCGCACTTTGTATCCTAAATTGGTTACATCTTTTTTGTATGCATAATTAACACGCGGCAATGGACATTGCGTTAAATTGCGAAGGGTTAACCGCACACGATTGCGCGTCGGCACGATGCATGCACTTTGCGTGAATGCGTGAATTCAGACGCGGCGTAATCTCCCATCGAGTGGGCGAATAGGCACTGTCGAAGGGATGCTACAACCAAGGCGGCAGAAGGTAAGTGCGCGGAGGGGCGCAGGGTGAAAGAGGATTGCCGATCCATCCATGAGAGATCACGCCAGTCCCTGAATGCGGGATAAAACCTCGCTGATGCCCGGCGGAGCGATCCGCGGGATGGAAGCGAGAGGGTGAGCCGTGAGGGGAGAAAAGGAAGAATAAATGTGAAAGAGAAAGGGAGAAAGAGAGAAAAAAAAGGGGAGAAAGGGAGATGCTACTGAATGCCGTGGAAAGTAAAACTCAAGGCAGTGGATCCAAAAGGACGTTGAAGACTCTCCCAAATCCATATAAATTGTCGTATTGTTGAAAGACCGTGTCGCATACCAATTCGAGATGATGCAAGATATATCCTGGAAAAGCAAGTCAATGGTCCATGCGATTGTCAGTCGTTACAGTATCGTTGTCGTGCATGATTTCTGGATCGTCCTTAAAGCTATTTGCAAAAGTATTGAACTGAGATATCCTGATATGAACATTTTCTTCTTACATGCCGTATTACAAGTATATTTATAGGTTTTCTTTCACCACCATTTTCCGTGTAAAAGACAATTATACTGCTTCATAGTTTCTTTGAAACAGTTTTGATTTATGATTCTTGCATACTGCACGAGATTGTGATGCATCCGACAGATTTTTTTGGAGTCTTTACTGATACAATTCGTCACTCCTAGGGTGGATTAAAGGGATCGCCATAAATAACGAAACGTCAGTCGATGTATCAGTGAGAGAAGCTCGGACCACATTATTATTCTATCCGTATTTCCACATCGCACGATTTGCTTCTGTATATGTAGCTTCGCAAGGTGACTTTCGATCGAATAACGCATACGAATCACACATTGATGTATCACCTTTTTTCTGTGTCTACAACGAATGGAAAGCTTCAGCAATCTTTTTTGACATTATTGCCATAACATTATTGTCGAGTTTGCAGAGTTTCACGCAAAAAAGATAACATATCGCTGTGCAATATTATGCGATTCCATTTTCGTTACAAACAACACAAACACATTTTAATATATGTAAATTTACCGAGGTTTACAAAAAAATAGATTTCTATTACTTTTATCTTGAAAATTATGTAATATATGGATAATATCGTATAATTGTGACTATTATACTTACGTTTTTGTGATTGTATGATTTAAAATTTATTCGTACATAATTTGATAAATTAATAGAGAGAAAACTTCTCCTGTAAATTAAATCGTGCGTAGATTTTAAGTCGGATCACATTACTTTTGCAATAACGAGTCATATTTTAGTTGATTTCAAAGAGCTAGCTGATCATTTTTTATATTGACATTATAACATTACGCAACCATTTTTTATGCTATACAATATTCCATTTTCGTTACAAGCAACACAAAACACGTCTTAACGTTTTAAGCTGCTGTCCAAACTGAATTAAAGTAAAAAATAGTCAGTAGTAATAGGCTGCAGGATTACTAATATAAGAGGAAAAAAAACCTATCTTAATACTTTAGTATCTGATCGTGTATAATATAGTACAAGAAGATCAACATGTATCATCGACACTGACATGTGGAATTTTTCTCCACTTTTACTTTTCCTATCAAAATGTAATATATTGTCAGCTAGGTCTTTAAAGTTGATTGAAATAAAACACGTTATTGCAAAAGCAGCGATATCCGACTTAAAACCTGCGCATGATTTAATTCGTGGGAAAAGCTTTTATCTTGATATGTCTAGACGTTGGATGTAATGTATTAAAAAAATTATATAATTGTATTTCTACATTTACATTGCGTAGCATTAAAAATTTTAATTCCTGCTTCTGGCAAAATCGAATGTAATACTATATTGAGAACAGATTTATGCTCAGTTATCTATAAAAAAACTGAAAAAAGTTTATAATATTCATCATTTATAATATGAATGAGTCTACTTCCGAATGAGGGAACTTTCGAGTTCGTTTTGCTTTTTACATTGCAAAAGCTGTATTCAGGAGATGGTTGGACGTCACTGTCCAAGGAATCATAGGCTTGCGTTGGATGGATTTAGAAGTAGACCGACGCGTAAAGACGTTCGTATGATCGCTGTTGGAGCGGACGACTAAGGGATTTCAGTCAAAATACAACTCCTTGGTACCGGCGGTAGCCGATAAATTATTATCTCCCGAAGATTAGCTCCGATGTCGCGACCCTCATAAATATCAGTATATTTTTGCTCGGTAAGCCGATTTCCTTTCTGCCGATGGCTTCGAAACGTAGCGGCTGCTGCCGAACCGCGCGAAATCCTTTCTTACCACCTCCCGCTTTCTGTTGCTCTGCGATCCTTGGCGATCGTCCCTGCGTAGAAGGCTCTTTATAGACCAGGAGATTAAAGACGCTTCTCGTGTTCCTTTTTAATTTCGCGTCTCTCGGTGCCGGCGCGACCGGGGTTAGTTATTATCAATGGTAAAACCTGTGTCAGCGAACGCCGAATAAAAGATAATCGCGCGTGAGCAGATTCGCGTCCTTTCGATTCTCTCGACGCACAACGGAGAATTCGCCGGTATAAGAAACTAGGAGGAATCGCGAGACGATAACGCCTTTCCTCGCAGCGTTATATACAGAGTATTCGTTTCGATGCCACTTCATTATCATAATAGATTCTTCCATGAGCGTACGCAAGGAGCACTTGCTTCCTTTCTCTAAATTTTGGCAAAGTAAAATAATTAAATTATGAAAATTATTTTTACGACAAAAAGTTAAACGCTCATTGGCCAATGCGTGGCTCACGCGTTATTCGTAAGAAAATTCACTGAAAATCCTCGAAGAGACTGACTTTAATATAAATATTTTAATAAGTTTTGTGTGAAGATATAAACTTTTGCCCTCCGTCCTGATTAAAATCCTGGATACGTCCATGGATTCTTCTATTAATTTATCAAATGTGCGTAATGTACATCGAAAAAAATAATAAATGTTAATATATATTCGTTTGAATAGTACTAATTAAATATATATTAAATGTAAACATATATTTATTTAGTACAAGAACCATTAATTTGAACCATTAATTTTTTTAATTGATTTAACTATTATTTCTTCTTATTGAATAAATATTTATAATCTGTAAATAAATGTTTAGTTTTAATTATTGAAAAAAATATGTATTAAGATTTAGTAAATTTTTTCCTTAATGTATGAATGATTTGTAAATCATGTAATCCTAAAGAAATGAGTAGTTATTATCTTACTATACAATTTGTTATAAAATAAATGTGCGTGCAAGTTTATATGATTTAGGAAAAAGTAATGAAATGAGGTCTTTCTTCAAGTGAAATAATGCTTCGAAACGTAATACAAACGAATTCAATGCGAAAACTCGAATTTAACACAAGACAGAGTGACGTCTTTTTTGCGAGTCATCCCTTGACAAGCATTCGGAGCAACTTGGCGAATATCTTGGCAATGTTCGAGGACACAAACGGTTCGCCATTTTCTTCTAGAACGTGCGATATACGTTCTTCTAAAACCTCTTCCGCCATATATGAGCCGGGTCTTACTGCCACGATATATTTTGCAAATCTTTCGCTATTTATCACCAGCGGCATTCGCGAAACCCTTGTGCGCGTAATGCTTTCCCCTTCGTTCGTCAACCGTTTTCATATTTTCGTGCCGTGCTATTTTCTGAAAGCGACATTGCCAGAGATTTCCATAATTCTGAGAAACTGTCGTTCGCACTGTG